CAGAAAACATCCACCATTGCTTTCTTCCCCATGACCCCCACCCCAGATGTTATAGCCTGAAGACTGATCCCTACAGAGACTGTTCCTGTAAGAGTAACTAAATTTTCCCTTGACCAGTTGTTTACAACTGTTTGGCTGCATGCCTACCCCATCTTCCTAGCACGTGCTCACATCCTACCGGTTTGTCTGGTCCCAGGTTTTTGCAGGTGTTACAGATCATCTTGGTTGGCAACTTGGCACACCTGGAAAAAGGGAATTGCTCCCACCAGATAGGCCCAGGGGGATGTCTGTGGGTCATTTTCTCGACTTCTAGTTGGTGCAGGAGGGTCCATTCTGCTGCAGGTAGTGCCATCCCTAGGGACCGAGCTATACAAGAAGAGTAGCGGGAAGTAGCTCTCTTCAATTGGTTTATGCTCAGGCTCCAGCCTTGATTTCCTTCTTGGCTTCCCTGGAGGATAGACTATAACCTGTAATCTGAAATAAACTCTTTTCTCCCCAAGCTACTTTTGGTCATAGAGTTTATTACAACAGAAAGCAAACCAGAACAGGCAAGGCCAGATTTCCACGGCAATACTCACATGACAAGAAACAAGTTTGCCTCAGTTCATTCCAGTCAGAGGTGCAGCGGCTCTCAGACTTGGCTGGATAAGAGCATCTTATGAAAAAACTAAAACATTCATATTTTGAGACATAAGGAGAGTCATTAGTCAGAATCATCTGGAGAAGATTTGGGGATTTGTATTTGAAATACAGGAATGAAGATTCACCCAAACATGTGTGACTCTGCTATTGTTAGCTTGGCTGGCAGACTAATGTAAAAGAGTGAAACCTTTGATACTGTTGCATCTCATTATAGAAAAGTATCAAAATCACTTGATTTAATGTTGGGCAATGGTCATTGCCTTCTCTGTTAAGTAAACAGTTTTAGTCTCAGAAAATGTATCATAAGGGGAAGAAACAGAGGACTTGATTTGTCTCAAAATTCGGGGAGTTTAAGTGCCCCCCCATCTTGAAGACAATGAGATACAAAGAAACCAAAGATGTTGGAGAACAACATCAATGTGTCCTGTAAAATCCTACTGTTTGCAGGAGTATTTTTGTTGACACAGCAAAGGGGTTAAATCCCCATTCTTCAACAGGAAACACCCTACAGTCTCCCACTCTAGTTAAGAGCTTGAATGAATACCGAAGACTGCATTTGTTAATACATGAAATTGAAAACTTACATTATATCAGAGAAATGCTGATAATATAAATCACTTTTATATCCAATTTAGCATGAAAGATAATCCTACAGGATTTTACAAACACCTCATTGACAGGGTGTTGAACTTCCGTGGTCTCTTTATTAGCATTGTCCGTGTGTGGAGTGGTTTAGAGCAGTGGAACTGAGAATGTGATGTTAGAGCCAATCCTATCGCAAACCAACAGCTATCATGTTACACTATCAGCCAGCATTGCATCTTATCTCCGTAGTGGGAGGCCTTATTATCTCTGAAGACAATTTCAACCAAACTTCCCAGAAATAATCATTGTCGTTGGCTTGCATCGTCCTCTTAGACTTTTCCTTGGTTGAACAGCTGAACCCACTCTTTGAACGTCTTGAAAGGCGTGTCTTCAGAAAACAATGATTCTGCTTAATGCCTTCTCAAAGCTAATTCTAAGATTAAAATCTTCACTCCTCATTCACCCTGCATGTCACTTACATTCAAGGAGATCTGGGAAGTATGAGTCCAATGTCTTCATGAGGGCTAACCATATATGGAGAACAGTTGTTCAGTAACAGGTCTGAGTTTCTCTAAGATGGGAATAGGGATGTTCTGAGCTACACTTCTCATGTATTTTTCTCTTGATCAATGATTCAATTTCAGTTTTATCTAGTTTTAATATAACATAGTACAATTTAGTCCTAAAACATATGCCAGAAGAACTATGCAAGACTCAAAAGATATTCCTCAAAGTAAAGCTCTCCTTCACTTCCAAAGACATCGAGAACATCATCTATATACTACTTGGAAATGAGTTATTTTCATGCCTGCACCATAGGTAGGTCTTGGACTCTCCCCACACCCTTATACTCTGAATTTAAGGTACCTCAACCCAAAGGAGTAGTTGTCCAGAGAGAGAAAAGCAACAGCCCCGCCCCCAACCCTTGGGAGCAGAAAGAAAAGAATTATCTTAAGAAATCATTCAAAAACTTAGGTAGTACGGGCAGAAATAAAACCATAGATGCATAGGCTCATGGCCTAGGAGAGCAGAATTTAACTCAAAATGGTAAATAATCTGCTAAACATTGAACTAAACCAGTTTGATGAACTCAAATGCCCTCGGCTCAATAGGCAGGACTCTCGGAGGAGCTTGTGTTACTTCCCTCACTTAAGTGCAGATTTGTAATAAAAATCCTAATGCCAGTGGCATGGTTTTGGGCCACATAAGAAGCTAACCACTTGGAGAATCGTCTTTGATGGGTCAGAAAACTGTACAGTCGAAGATCAGTTTATAATTTACGAAGAAAATAGAAAGTTTTGTTTCTCCGAGTTGAAATTTGCTGAGCACCGCGGGAAATATTGCAAGTTTTTGGCAGAAGGCTTGGTGCTTTGCTTACAATTTGAGATGTGCATGAAGCCCGAGGCTTCGGGGAACATTATTTGAGAAAAATCGAGCAATTCGATGTAGGGAATTTTGACATTTTTGGCTTTTTTTGAGGTGTAACAAACACAACTCGGCATCCAAGAGGACACTCCGCGGCTGCCAGCGAGGCGGGCTGGACAGCGCACCAATCACGACGCAGCTCCGCCCTATATAAACGGGCGGGCGCAGCGCCGCGGCCCGAGTCCCGGCCAGTGCCTCTGCTTCCGGCTCGAGTTCTCTCTTCTCTTACATACGCTTCGCCATGTCCGAGACCGCGCCTGCCGCGCCCGCCGCACCGGCCCCCGCCGAGAAGACACCCGTAAAGAAGAAGGCACGGAAGGCCGCAGGTGGCGCGAAGCGCAAGGCGTCCGGACCCCCGGTGTCCGAGCTCATCACCAAGGCTGTGGCCGCCTCCAAGGAGCGCAGCGGCGTGTCCCTGGCCGCGCTCAAGAAGGCGCTGGCGGCCGCCGGCTACGATGTGGAGAAGAACAACAGCCGCATCAAGCTGGGGCTCAAGAGCCTGGTGAGCAAGGGCACCCTGGTGCAGACCAAGGGCACCGGCGCCTCCGGCTCCTTCAAGCTCAACAAGAAGGCGGCTTCCGGCGAGGCCAAGCCCAAAGCCAAGAAGGCAGGCGCGGCCAAGGCTAAGAAGCCCGCGGGCGCAGCCAAGAAGCCCAAGAAGGCTGCGGGAACAGCCACTCCCAAGAAGAGCACCAAGAAGACCCCAAAGAAGGCGAAGAAGCCAGCTGCAGCTGCAGGAGCCAAAAAAGCTAAGAGCCCGAAGAAGGCGAAAGCAGCTAAGCCCAAGAAGGCGCCCAAGAGCCCTGCCAAGGCGAAAGCGGTGAAGCCTAAGGCGGCCAAGCCAAAAACCGCCAAGCCTAAGGCAGCTAAGCCAAAGAAAACCGCAGCCAAGAAGAAATAAATTTTCTTTGGCAGACTGCTTAGAAGCCCAACAACCCAAAGGCTCTTTTCAGAGCCACCCACAAATCTCAAAAGAGCTGTTGCGCATTTGGTGGGGGCGTGGCTAGGGTGGGGACGCTGGCGAGTGGGCTGGGCTTCGGGAGACGTACAGAGCAATGGGTATCCGGGTGTTTAGGGCGTTTGGGAGTTAGCTGACATGGTGACGCTAAGTCTGTATTTAGTTCATTTCATGTACGGCTACGTAAGTGAATTAGACACGAGAGCATGAGGCAGCAAGTGGTTTAATCCTAGGTGCCACGCTGATAGGCAGTAAACTTTTAAGGAGGTAACAATTTAGGGTGGTTGAATCGTTGGCATTAAAAAGCTCTAACGCTCAGTAAAGCTACACAGCCTAGCCACCGCCGCCTAAATTTTCTCGCAGTTCTCACTGGTGAGTCACCCACAGAAACAGCGTGCCCTTAGAAACACGTATTTCCCACCTTGAGCAGCGATCGTACTTGAGTAGGTTAGCTATAGCAAATTTGTGCAGTTTAGTTTGTACTTCCTGATTGGTGAGCGCGAAGTGACAAGACAGCCAATGAAAGAGTAGACCTTCAAGTGCCGTTTACGTTCCTATTCGTGACGAAACACTAAAACTAATCCAATCCTGAAGGAAATCTGATTAACCTCATTTGAATACTGCGTAATGTAAATGGTTGTGGTGTAACTGGTGGCGGGACGCTTATTTTTCCAAATGTTTGTTTAGGGTTCCTGTTGGAGGGAGTTAGAATTTTGTACAATGAATGTCTGAGCCGGCAGAGTCCGCGCCCGCCCTACAGGACTCTTTCCCTGTCACCAGGGCGCAGAAGGACGGCAAGGAGCGCCTGCTCAGCCGCAAGGAGAGCTACTCGGTGTACGTGTACAAGGTGCTGAAGCAGGTGCACCCCGACACGGGCATCTCATCCAAGGCCATGGGCATCATGAACTCGTTCGTCAATAGCATCTTCGAGCGCATAGCATTAGAGGAGTCGGGCCGCATTACAAAAAGCAACCGACCATCACATCTCAGTAGATCCAGACGGCCGTGCGCCTGCGTGGCTCGGAGCTGGACAAGCACCAAGGCGGTCACCAAGTAAACCAGCCAAGTAGGCATTTTCACTCTTGATTTTTCAAAGGCTTTTCGGAGCCGTGTATCTTTTCAACAAATGAGTTGTGGTTTCAAGTATCCTCAATCTTAAAATTATGTTCCCCCACCCCCCACCCCCAGTCTGTTGGGCATGTAGTCAAGATGTCTAGTCCACGTTAGCCTGTAATTCCCAGTTCTAAGTGAAAATTCCTCACGTGCTCCACCATGCCCGCCTTCTCCTGCTACTTGTGTTTGTGAGAAATTCGTGGTGCCCTGGAAATGCGGGAAATGGCAATAGCTTCCAGGAGCCACAGATTCACTGGCACATACAAGGTCCGTATAGTTAATGCGCTGTCACTTACAGATACTAAAATTAACTAAAGTTGTCGTTTTAAGAGTGCAGCTCTCCGTTCCCGTGCTAAAGTGTCCAAGTTCCCCTTCTAGTGACTGAATTGGTCTTAGACTCCCAGGATTCTTCTCCCTGAGCACAAATGAGCATGCGCAGACAATCTCCTTTCGCTTGGAGCTTTTCCTTTTCTTTTTCTCCCCAAACTTTTTCCTTCTATAAGGTATGTGCTACTGAAAAGGGATCTAAGACAGGGGTTCCCACAGAAATGTGGGTGTTTGGGGATGCTTGCTTTGCAAGCCAGCCAGTTTCGGAGTGACTGGGTTTGCCACTGACAGAGATTAGGCTCTGGCGGAAGGGAAAGCAATCTGGGATGATCAGGTCCTCTGTTACTGTATCTTAGACAGTTTCTTAGTTCACGGTCAGCTTTCAGTAAGTATGTTCTCGGGGTACCCCGCGAGGTGGCGCACCTGTGATACCCGAGAAGGAAGAAGAAGGTTGAATTCTGAAGGAGGAAAACCCAGGTCTGCCAGGTGTAGCTGTTTGTTTACAAGATAGACTGGCCTCTTGCGATTGGGGAAGAGATGACAGGAGCGAAGATAATGGAGAGGCTGGGAAGGGGCGTGGCTAGGAGGAAAGCAAATACATGTCAAAATCAAGGTATGGGTCAGGCTGAATTTGAAGCAAATTGGGTGTGATGGAGGAAGTATGGTGATATTTTACTTGTGCTGAAATGTGATTTTATTTGTATGTTAATAAATAAAGTTGCCTGGGGGTCAAGCCATTTAGCAGAAGTCTGGCAGTGGTAGCACACGCCCTTAATCCTGATCACATGACAGACAGAATCTCTGTGTGTTCAAGGACACAGCCAGCATGGAAACACGAGCCTTTGCCTTTAATCTCTTTGTTTTGTTTTTGTTTTTGTTTTTGTTTGAGGGGGGCACAACAGGGTTAATTTGCTCGCTTTGTAGACCAGGCTGGCCTCGAACTCACAGAGATTCGCCTGCCTCTGCCTCCCCAGTGCTGGGATTAAAGGCGTGAGCCACCACCACCCGGCAACACGCCCTTAATCTCAATACCAACCATAGAAACCTGGAGGTCTGTATAGACCGGCTGTGAGCAGGAGGTCATATGCTTGGGTTTACAACCAATGAAAATAAAGGGGAAGGGGAAGGACTACAGAGACATCAAGGAGTAAGAAGGTGGTTTTAGCTCTTGGCTGCTGCTCCATCTCTGGGCTTTTAACCCTGCATTTGGCTCTGTGTTTCTTATTTAATAAGACCGTTCAGAATTACATCTACAGAGGAAGTAGTGAATTTAGAAACTTCTCACACTCTCATGAACAGATTTATATTGTGGGGTTAGATTTTTGTATAATATGGTAAGTTTGATACCTGTATGGATAAATAAAAATCCTGAGATGTTTTCCTTTCACAAAATAGGACGCTGGTCAACTCAAGGGATTTGACCTGTGTGAAACCCAAAGAACTACAGTTGACTTTTGCCCAGCCTAAACGTGGGTACTTAACGCGTTACATGCAGCTGAACCATCAAATGGAACCTTAACCAGAATCTTGAGCAAGTGATGCTGAGACACCAGACCAAAGCTCTTTCCTTACGGGGGATGATCTGGAAATCCACACTGTCGGGAACAGGTGGCCTACCCCCAGATGACTACACAGACAAGTCCAAGCTCTGAACTTAGTTCTGGACCAGGCTTGTTTATTTATTCCCAGCATTCAGACTAAAAGATGCAAGCTGCTAAACTGAGCATCCAATTAAGGTTTTGTTAAAGTGGTTTGTGTCGTGGAGAACCAGGTAGATCTGGTAATAATTATTACTGTGCAGTCTTAGAATGTTGCAGAAATCGTGGCTGAGAATTTTCTAGGGTTGATGGATTTCTCAATACTAGAAATAAATAAATGAAAAAATATTACAAAATGGTCATCATGTAATGTTGAGTCAAACTATAAGCTCTTAACAATACAATTCTCATGGTCCAGAGGCCTTCTTCTGGCCTCCTTGGGTACCAGGCACACATACAATGCACATATATAAATGCAGGCAAAACATTCATACACATAAAATAAAGACAAATAGATGTCTTTGAAAGAAAGAAAGAAAGAAAGAAAGAAAGAAAGAAAGAAAGAAAGAAAGAAAGAAAGAAAGAAAGAAAGAAAGAAAGAAAGAAAGAAAGAAAGAAAGAAAGGAGTGTAGTGGCATGTACCTTTAATCCCAACACTCATGAGGCAGAAGCAAGCAGATATCTGTGAGCTTGTGGTCAGCCTGGTCTACATATCAAGTTCCAGGCAATGACTACACATGAGACCATGCCTCAAAAAAAGAAAAGAAGGAAAGAAAAGAAAGGCAGATAGTCATCATTGTCTTTGAAGTTCCTTTCCAAAATGATCACTTGGGAGCTTATGAAGTATAACATTTGTGTGTGTGTGTGTGTACTATCTACTGAGTTGTAGTTTCTTTCCAACTCTTAATTTTCAGTTAGTAATTATTTATAGATCTCATCCATTCTGTTTGGGCATCTTGTGAAATCGCACTCTTCCCTCTTTTAACCTGTTTAAAGAAGGATAGGTAGAGTTCCTATTGGTGGTTCATGCTCGCATTCATAAGACAGATATTTTCTCATTCATGATGTACTATTAAATAAAAATATGTCAGATACATTTTGGTGATATTTTACATGATTTTTTCCAACTTATTTTCACATATGACTCGTTGTGTTACTTTCTCTTTGAGGCTTACCTTCCCTAGGTTTTTGCCATTAAGATTATGGTGGCTTCATAATTGGGTTTATCTGTTGCTGTGTTTAAAAAAAGAAAAGAAAAAGAAATAAAAAACACAGTACTTGCCGGACGGTGGTGACGCACACCTTTAATCCCAGCACTCGGGAGGCAGAGCCAGGTGGATCTCTGTGAGTTCGAGGCCAGCCTGGGTTACCAAGTGAGTTCCAGGCAGGGCGCAAAGCTACAGAGAGAAACCCTGTCTCAAAAAAAACAAAAAAAACAAAAACAAAACACAGTACTTAAATCACTGAGTATCTAACATTTATTATCTCTCTGGGTCAAAAATTAGGTGGGGGATTAAAACTCAGGGATCTTTCCTGAGGTTAAATTAAGATGAAATCATGGCTGTGATCATACATGAGCTTTGAAATTCTTGAATGTTCTAACCAGCTTCAGCATTTATTATACAGAGCTCTTATGAAATCTCAGTGACCATCTTCAAAAGAAAGAATCCCAGCATGAAAAACTGAGACAAGAAAATTGCTGGTAATCCCAGGACAGCCTGATCTACATAATAATTCCTGGTCTCAGAAAAAGAAATGGTAGCCGGGCATGGTGGTCCACGCCTTTAATCCCAGCACTCAGGAAGCAGAGCCAGGTGGATCTCTGTGAGTTCGAGGCCAGCCTGGGTTACCAAGTGAGTTCCAGG